TTATCTATAAGAATCTATAAAGCAGTAATTTGACCTATATTAACATACACGGCGGAGACAAGATCTGACACATCTAAAACGAGACGACTACTAGAAACAACAGAGATGAAAATACTCCGATGAATATCAGGGAAAAGTCTGTTGGATAGGGAGAGAAGCGAAAACATAACAAGAGCATGCAACATAAAAGACATAAATGGATGACTGACGAAACGAAAATAGGAGTGGAACGAATACACCAAATGTACGAAGAAGTATTGGTAAACCAAGAAAAAGATGGTGCGACAGTTTAAAAAATTTAGGAACCTAATATTGAAGAAGAAACATGCTTTAAAGACTATATATAAGACGGAAGAAGAAGAAGACACATCTGAAACAAAAAATTCCAACAAGGTTACTTAAAGCAAGCGCCCTTAAAACACAATTAACCACTTTTTTGAAAAAAAAAAAAGTCGAAAAATTAATTTTGACACGCAAAAATTGGTAAAAAGAAATCGTTTTTTTTGAAACTTTTTCTTTAAATGTCCGCCAATCTCTTTTTTGATTTTCTTTAAGTAATTCTATTGAAAATTTTTTTGTTAAGATGTACCAATCCTGAGAATTAATGTCTGTGAACTAAAAACAAAAAAGTTTTTTGTTTAACTAAAAGATCAAATAATATTAAAACAATAATCTTGTTCGTATCTAATAAAGGAGCTGAGACTTTTTTTTTGAAAAGCTGCATTTTTTAAACCGTCTAATCTGTACTAGTACCTTAATGCAAAAAGTATCAAATGATATAATATATCATTTGATACTTTTTGCATTAAGGTACTAGTATTATTGCCATATCAATATTATTGTCATAAAAAACATTTTCGAATATAATTCCAGTTCTTTATGTCGCATCGCATGCCATTGTTGAAAATTACTAGCATTACCTTAACTTATCAACGTCTTTCCTTGTTTGAAATGGACATGTCAAGCTTTTCCCCTGTACAGGATTTTTTCAAACACTGATACCTTTTGACATCAAGTTATCACCCTGTATTGTTTTACTTTTAGAAACTATGTAAGTGACTAAAAAAAAACGGTAAATAATAAAAATTGGACTTCCCTGTGGTCTTTAATTCTTTTGCAAAAAAATATAGAGGATTGAATTCTAAGCAACTTTTATTCTTTAGAGTTTTTGTGGCTTATTCCCAATAAAATAGTAATTACTTTAAAATTTCACAAGAAAATAGCTTCAGAACAATGTTACTGTAAATGTAAGGTAAGATCATATAATATACAATATTTATTATATGTTATTAGGTAAAATAAACATAAAACTTACTATAAAATAAAATGACATTTAACAAACGTCAACGTTTTACCAAAATAAAATTAAAAATAAATAAAATTAAATAAAGGTTAATACCATTAAATAAAATTTAATCAAGTTAAACAGAATTACGTAAAATTAAATAACAATTAAATAAAATTAAGTAAAAGCCATAGCTGTAAAAAGGCTGGTATACCATTTCTGCTTCATTTCCCATGTAAAATCCCTTAAGGAAATTCTAAGGCTCATTCCGGGGGAGAGGGGGTAGCGAATGTGTTGAAACAAAAAAAAAACACAGAAAGCGGCATTTCCAAAAGGGCATTACATCATATCTACTTTGTTTGGTCCGATTGGAGCGTTAAATGAAAGAGAAGGATATAACGAATATATTAAAAATAAAAACAAGGTGACCACCAGAAGTGGACTACACTGTGTCTTTGTTATTAATGAATATACAGGTACATTCAAGATGTCATATAGCACTATGGATACAAATAGTTTAATTAAAAGGCAAATTTTGATTTATTCACTTGGCTTATTAAGGCTTATTAAGGCCCCTGGCTGAGTACAAAGTAAACAAACAAACGAATCCTAACACGCGACATAGTAAATGAAATTGGAGGAAATAACGAATATATTAAATAAGAAAAAACAAATGTGGTGACTACCAAAACAGCACTACACAGTATCTTCATTATTAATGAACGTATAGCGACATACGAGATATCATGGAGCACTATAAATAAAAAGAGATTTACTATAAGACAAAAATTGATTTATTGACTTAAAGAAGGCCTCTGGCCGAGTATAAAATAAACAACTGATCGAATCCTAACATGCGACATAGCAAATGAAAAAAGAATCTAACGAATATATTCAGATAGATAAAAAACAATGTGGCTACTAAAAGGGCACTACACATCATCTTCGTGAACAGCGGATGAACACTATGGATGATATTAGACATATTTATTTGTTTTATATATAAAGCATAAGGTAAATTTGCTTTAATGACTTGAAGAAGGCCTCTGACTAATTACAAAAAACACAACTAGCCTAATACTACCATATGACATATCAAATCAAACGACGTGAGGCGTATAGTAAAAAAGCATGATGTCATGTCAGAAGTGCACTAGATCATACTTTATATTTACTTGGTTTATATGCAAAATTTAATGGCTGTTTGGTCAGCATCAAGAAGATTGATGCCTCGCTTATGGGGACGCATCAAGACATGGCCACCAAACCATCAATTTCAGTAAAATAACAGTAAGGCTTTTTAAAGACATAGTTCTACATAGAAACAAGGCTTATAATGTTATAGCTTTAATAGACTATAGCTGCACTGTCTTAGAAGAATATTATAAAAGACGACTTCGAAATTTTGCAACTAGTAGAGATGCAGCTCCAAGATTACTCTTTAAAAGGCAATTAGAAAAAAAATACTTACAACAGAAATATAAAAGTACATTTTCTAAAAATTTATATAAAGTTCCTAGTAAGCAAAATAATAGTGTGCTTTACAAAGTCGATATAGCAACATGATTTTCCAGTTGCGAAATTAGAAGATTGAGTGCTTTTGCAAGCACCAAGCTGCAATTTCACACTTTTTTAATATATCCTTAACGGCCAGCTACTACTCCTGAAGATCAATACGACGTAGCTAAATTAGCTTTTGTCGAAAAAGTTTAATTTTCGTTTACAGATCTTATTAATATCCTACAAGATAAAAATGTAACATTTTTAACTGATTCATCAACTTTAAAATTACTACACGAAAGATTATCCCATATTAAAAGTTTTTTAAACACGGCAGGAAGTTCCTCGGCAAGGCGATTTGGACCTTCAATCAACCTAAGAAAGTTGGTAGTTACTAGAGGGTCAGAAAGATTACCATTTTTAAGTCCACCTAAAGATGAACCTTCTAAAAAAAGATTAAAAAGGCGTCACAATCTTTCGTAAAATATTGCAGCAAATCAAACAAATGCAACTAAATATAGTAAAGGGCGTTTTCAATTACGCATACATATTACATTTTAAACATTTGAATAACCCCCTCTGTGGCTCAGTGGTAAGAGCGCCTACCTTTAAAACCTAAAGGTCGTGAGTTCAAATCTCATCGGGTGGAGAAATTTTCGTTTATTAAAAATTAATAAATGAAAATAATTTCTATCCTTGTGCGATCGGTACTCACCAGAGGGACCGCAGACGTTCGGATACAATTAGCGTCTACTAGCAAACACAATGACGTCGACTTTGCTAAGTATCAAGACAATTACTCTACACACTACACACTAGGTAGCTAACTGTACCATGCCAATGATCTTAGTTGTCGAGGAATTAACTCAATAATAAAAAAAACATTTGAATTTTTTTTTTAATTTATTTAAATATATTTTGTTTTATTTCCTATTGCATTTTTTTAGTTTTCCTTAATAATATATTAACAAATATTTTAGAATCAGTCTCGTTTTAACTGATTTTAATAAACAGCCGTCTGTTTTGGTTTACGAATATTTTTAACATTCCGTATATGCATTTGGCACTAACGTAACATTCCATATACGTATTTGGCACCTTGCCGCCTATTGGTTGAAACATTGTCGCGTGCCGCAAAGAACCAATAGAAAAGTCCTAGGTGCCAAATACATAGACGGAATGTTTAGATGCCTTCCGGGCAAAGTCACTAGTCTCTACATAATTCTGTACCACGTGAGCAAATTTTCATTGGGCTTTTTAAGAAACTTTTTTATGTGACAATTTATTTAATAAAATAATTATGTTTGCTTAAGTTTTTGTATTTATTTGATCGATCGTTTTTGAACCATTGTCTGTCTTAGGGATTAGCTGAACTATCTTGGAAAAGAACTACAGGGTAGTTAACTCCATGATTGTTTTTGTAGAAGATAGAAGCTAACTTTTGATCTCCTCACCATTCCAAATCAATCGTGGATTTTAAAATGGTGAAATCCATATGTTTACTATCTACTAAACCAAAACTGCACTTTAGTTATAAACGTCAAAACACATAAACGATAATCTTGACTGAAATAATTGGCAATCACATTTTTTTGTCAATTGGAAATTTTCAAATTTTATAGGATTTTTTTAATAGAAAGATAGAGGGAAAGAGAATATTATTTAGAAATAAATATTTGTCGCTCAGAAATCTTTGTCAGTAGACTCGCTCATCAGCCGACCAATTGTTACAAGATCAAGAAAAATATCGTCAAATTGTTATGAAGGCATCCAAAGTCCATCAGGACACGGTACGCAGAGGAGAACAAGATAAGAAAGTTAAATAGATATTTTACATTTGAAACAAGAAAATTTCAAATAATTTTGAAATTCTTTACCCCTCTGTGACATTGCGTTTCGGCTTATCAGCTTTGTCATAAAAATTGTGCTATTATAGGCAGATTTTTTATACGAAGTATAGTGCAGAATACTTCCAAACGTTAAGGTTTTAATGCGGTAAGGGTTCCTATCCATAAAGAAATTAAAAAGCAGATTATCTCATTGCTTTATTGTCGCCGCTAATAAATACTTACTTTTTATTTAATTGCGTGTTAATCATTTAATAAATCCTAATCTCTTAGTATTTAAGCCATTGTGTACTGAGATTAAACAAAGTGTCGACAATTATTTCATTGGATATAACCTTACGGTATTGCCAATGTGAATTTTAACAAGTGATTATGTTGTTGCCGATATTTTTACTCCTTTTAGTCGTAAGTAATGTATATCTGTATGTAAATTAGCACTTATAGACTAGCGGTTTACCCCTAAGAAAATGCTTAGAAAAGGAATATACCGATAAATTTGTTTTTCCATTTCTACTTTACCGAACCTTTTTTATTTGATTCTATAGATTTAAATATATAAGTATATAAGTTTAAATTGCCTTTTTTACAGAAGACGTACTTTATGGAAATATTATACTTTTTCTGTCTTTTTTCAATTTTTTTTTTCAACATTTTTTTAAACATTTTTCAAAAATGCTTCCTTTTAGAGTTATTTTCAATTTTTTGTTGGAAAAATGTTTTAATTAGCGATTTTTGGAATTTTTTTGAATATCATGAATAACACTTTTACAAAAAGCTTTATAGTTTTTAATCTTTTACGTATAAGTCAGAATATTTTGGCCGGGATAATTGGTTTCAACGTTAGGATAGCTAAGCTGACCGCCAACATTCGGAACGGATAGGCACTGTAAGAAGAAGAAGTGGTTTCAATGTTGCTAAAAACCTAGTTTTAAATTTAAACACAGAGTTTTAAACGCCGCTCGCCTGTATCGCCGCGACCGTACATGCTTATTATCATACAGTGCTTTTCAGATAAAACTATCCACCTTAATTAACTTTTGAACCTCTAATTTTTTGGAAAAACGCAAAAACACTTCAATTAATATCTGAAGGGGGAGGCATAATAGTTTTTATATTTTTCCGCGAATAAACTCAGTTTTTATAAAACTGTTAAATAAATTAACGTGGCGCGACGGTTGCCATTTTTACGATTCTCGCGAGATCAATAGAAATGATTACTTTCATTGACCAGTTTTAAAATTTCAATTTTTAGAGATCAATATTCAAAACCTATGATATGAATTTCATATAAAAATTGAGTTCATTGATTTGACCTCAATTTTGATTTGTGGCAACAAATATGAGGCATTTAAAATATGAATAAAAACGCAGAATTTAATTTTTTATATTTCAAATTCAAACGATAGCACGTCACGGAAAATGCCTCCAAGAAGACGGTGTTAGGTGTAGTTTATAGCAGAAGTTTCGTTCTTTTGAAAAACGTACTAGTGTAACTTAAAAAAATGTTTTAAACGGTTTAGATTGTTCTAGGTATCAAAACTATATAGTGGCCAGTTAATAAAATGGATATATTGTACTGATTTCATGAGATTCATAAAAAATGGAAAAATCTTGCCAAGTTTATTTATTTAACACCTTTATAAAATCTGAGTTTATTTGCAGCAACATACAATGCTCAGTGTCATCTTTCCATCTCATTTGCGGTCGACCTCTTGACCTTTTTGCAGTATATGGTCTCCAGCGGCCAATTTCTTTATTCCATCTTCCATCCTGATATCTTTCGTTATGCCCAGCTCATTTTCATTTTAATTTCAATGCAATGCTGTTTTAATCTCTCGACGATATTCCCAACATTTGACTTTCCATAGCTCTTTAAGTTTTCTTTATTCTATCTAAGTTGCTCTTGGTACACGTCCACGTCTGGGCACCATATGTCAGATCAGGTAGGATGCATGCATTAAATATCTTCGTTCTTAATTTTAAAGGTATTTTTTAATTTTTGATCGTGTATGACAGTTTTCCGAATGCAGCCCACCCCATTCTTATTCTTCTGGTTATTTTTTTAGTCTGGTTACTTTTGTCTGCTCCGATAGCTTGCCCTAAGTAAATATATTATTGGACGTGTTCTATGTTTGTTCTACCTATGGTAATTACTGAACTGTTTTCTGTATTAGTCACTATTTTAGTTTTTTTAGATTCGTTTTTAGTCCTTTTTCAAGAGATGTTTTTTCCAGGTCTGAAATCAATATTCGTAGTTGTTCCATAGTTGTTGCTATCAGGAGTACATCATCGGCGAATCTTAGATGATTTAAATATTTCCCGTTTATACAAATCCCTTTATTGTCCCAGTCTATAGATTTAAAAATGTGCACGATAGTTTGGATGAGATTGTATCCCCTTGTCTGACACCTCTACAAATTCTAATTAATGAAATTTGCAAATCTCTGTCTAGCTGAATTCTCATGGAGTTTTGATATATATTGTGCATTACCATTCTGTACCATGAATCTAATCGGCAATTAACTAGCGCTTCTTCCACTGCCCATAGTTCTATACTGTCAAACGCTTTTTCATAGTCAACAAACGCTAGGTATGTTGGAAGGTTGTATTCGTTGGTCTTTTCTATCAATATTTTAAGACTGTGAAGGTGGTCGGTTGTGCTGTACCCCTTTCTAAATCCTGCCTGCTCAACTGCTTGGTATGCATCAAATTTGTTGTTTACAGTTGTGATCACCTTAGTGAAAGTTTTATAGATTTGTGACAAGAGAGATATTGGTCTATAGTTAGCTAATTTTGATCAATTTCCTTTCTTATATATCAGAACTGTATTTGCCTTGTTCCACTCTTGCGGAATTTGTCCTTCAAACAAACATTTAGGTATTTAAAAGTGCCTTAAGGTAGTCTTTTATTTTTTCTCCTCCTTCTTTTAACATTTCAATTAGATTTTCATCGTCTCCCGGAGCCTTATTGCTTTTTCTATTTCTTCTCAGGTTATGGGGGTAATATTTCATTTTTATCAGGGAGTTTACATTCATTGTTTTCTTTTTCAGGTTTTGTTGAGTTGTATCAGGTGGACTGTTTTTAGAGCTGTAGAGGTCACTAAAATATTGCCTTGTTATCTTAGATATTTGGGTTCTGCTTTTTTCTATTACACCTTGTTTATTTTACATCTCTATGATTTAGTTTCTTTCTAGGTGGAACTTGATATATATATAAGTTTCTGTTTTCTTCTATAATCTTTTCGATTCGTTCTTTTTGATGTCGTTTGAGATCTTGTTTTATATGTCTTCTTATTTCTGTATTAAGGGTTTTGTATTCAGTTGTATTTGTGTAGTAGTATGTATGCGCCAACATCTACACACACAGACGAAGAAATGGAAAAATTCTATGAACACCTCACAGAGTCCATTACGTTTCGAAACACTACCTACACGACTATAACGGGAGATTTTAATGCGAAAATGGGCAAAAACTAGAAGAAAATGAAAACTGTATTGGAGAATTTGGGCATGGAGTAAGAAATGAAAGAGGAGATCTATTGGTTAACTATCTAGAAAACAACAAATTATTTGCCATGAACTCTTTCTCCAAGAAAAAGCCACATAGCAAATTGATTACATACTAACAAACAAAAAGAACATTTTCGAAGACGTCAGAGTAATAAACTCAATCTCTACTGGTAGTGATCACATAATGATACGGGCTAAAATAAGTACTAAACACAAAAAAGATCGAAGACAATATGTGCACTCTAAGAGAAAACCTAGAAAAATTAAAGGTGAATAAAGAACAATACCAAAACAAATTAAGAACAGCTAAAGAACTAAAGCTAACAGGACTAAATCTAGATCAACTAAACAAAGCCATCACTGTAGAACTTCTAAACACTAGCTTAGAAGTCTTCTTCTTCCTATGCCGTCCCCATTAACGGAGGTTGGCGACCACATTTTTAAAAGCTTCTCTGTCTTTTGCAACGTGGAATAATTCGTCTACAGTCATGTTTGTCCAGTCTCGAATATTTCGCAGCCATGACTTCCTCTTTCTACCTATTCCCTTTTTGCCATCGACTCTACCCTGCATAATGACCTGCAGAGGACTATATTTATTATTTCTTAGTATGTGTCCAAGGTATGCAGCCTTGCGTACTTTTGTCGTTCTCAACAATTTTTTGACTCGACCCATTCTTCTCAGCACTTCCTCATTGGTGACCCTGGCAGTCCATGGGATTCTCAACATTCTCCGGTATATCCAAAATTCAAAGGCTTCAATCTTTTTAACTATTTGCGCTTTTAGTGTCCATGTTTCTACCCCGTACAATAATTGCGACCAGACGTAACATTCAACAAACCTCAGTCTCAGCGCAATATTCAGATTTTTGTCACAGAACAATTGTTTGAATTTTAAGAACGCTGCCCTTGCCATTTCTATTCGTACCCGGATCTCTTGGTCTGGATCTAATTCTGTGTTGATGTAAGCTCCCAGATATTTATATTTTGTCACTCTCTCTATTTGCTGTCCACCAAGAGTTAGTTGTTCATTATTTATTGGACTCCTTGATACTATCATAAATTTGGTCTTATCTGTGTTGATGTCAAGTCCCATTTGAATGCATTCACTATTTATTGCATCTAGTAAAGTTTGTAGATCTTCTATACTCTCAGCCATAATTACCGTGTCATCTGCAAATCTCATGGTGTTTATGATTTCTCCACCAATTCTTATTCTCTCTTTTCTTTCCCATAAGGCTTTTCTGAATATGACCTGTGAGTACACGTTGAAAAGAGTCGGAGACAAGACGCATCCTTGCCTAACCCCTCTCGTAATCGGTATATTATTTGTTTCTATATCGTTCACCTTTACTACTGCTTTCTGGTTCCAGTATATAGCCTTAATAAACTCAATATGTCTTTTTTGTCTAAATTGATGTTTTTTAATTCATCTATTAACATCATATGCTGCACTCGGTCAAAGGCCTTCCTAAAGTCTATGAAGCATACATATGCACTCTTGTTATATTCCCGAGATTTCTGCAAGAGTACCGTCAACGCACATAATGCCTCTCTTGTACCCATGCCTCCTCTGAAGCCAAACTGAGTTTCATCTATCTGTTCCTCACATTTCTTATAAATTCGGTTTTAAACAATTTTCAAAAGAATCTTTAAAGGGTGACACATTAGGCTTATCAATCTATAGTCATTACTCGATTTGGGATTGTTGTTTTTTGGTAGAGGTAAAAATATCGATTTAAGCCATTCTTCCGGGATGTTGCCCTCTACATATATGTGGTTGAGAATTCGGGTGAGTCTCTTTATATTACCGTCATCTAAGGCTTTTAACAGTTCAACTGGAATTTGATTAGAACCCGGTGCTTTTCCTTGTTTTGCATTCTGTAGGACATTCTTTAC